TTTTGGTACGTCGAAAATATTAGTTCTAAGTTGTAAAGGAAAAAAATAATAATAATAATAGAGCCCAAGTTGATAATATATATAAAAATATATTTTTCACTTTTAATCACCTATTCTATTTGTCATACCCGAATTCAAAAAATTATTTTAATACATTGATTATATTACAATCTCTATACTTATATTATTAAAATCTAATTTATCTTTTCATGTCAGTAATTACTCTCGATTTTTTTGAATAAAAATTCATATATTCATCAATAATTAATTTATAAACACCAATAAAAAATAATTTTTAAATAAAAACATATACCGAAACATATCATAACTTGAATTTATAATCTTTTATAATAATCATACTTTTTTTATTGAAATAATTAACTCGGTACGTATTTTAAATTAATATTAAATATCGTACTTAAATATTTGTGAGTAAAACAAAATATTTATCTAATAATGTTCTTCCATTTTTTTTTTGTTTTTGAATATTTTGTTTCATTTTCAATAGGAAAAAAAACTATAAAATATAAATTGAACCTAAAAAAAATGTTTGGTCACGTTCAAAGTCGAAGGCAATGGGTCGGCAGCTTGCACATGACCCATTAAAACAGAGTCAACCCTCGTACGAAAATTGGTACCTCTGGCTCTTGTTTTCATACTTTCCAAAGTCTCTCGACCAAAAAGTTCAACTGATTTGATTATAATTGAGATGTAAGCAGTGACTCACTGCGGATATAATGCTAGTCTAAGTTTTTTTAAATGCTTATTTTTCAAATTAATAATAAATAGATTGAATATGGAATTAATTATATGTATTTATCATTTGAATACCTATTTGATTTCGGTATATTTCTAACCTCTCATCTTTTATCTATTCTTTATTTCGGTTTATAATTTTTAAAAACATGTAATTAAGCACTTAATTTTTTATAAATATGACAATTTAAATGTTTTATCACTTTATTTTATTTAAAAATATAAAAATAACAACTCTATTAGCAACCATTTGTGAAACTTTTTTCGAACTACACCCGTTATCTCAAGTTTTGAATCGAACTAATATATTGACCCAAATAGTTAACGGAAGAAAATTGAGTCATTTGGGTCCTAAAAGATTAACGGGGCGAACTGCTAGTTTTCGGATACGAAATATCCATTATAGTCACTATGAACGCATTTATCTTATCGACACGTCTGAATGAATTAATATTGAATTTATTGGATCTTTAATATATAAATATTTTTAAAATTTTAACGTGACTATTTTAAAATTCGTAACGTAAATTTCGGTATGTTCAAAAGTTTATTACATTAAAATTTTCACTTAAGTTATGAAAAACCATGAAGAATTGCATTTTGAAGTAATGTAATTAATTATTAACTAAATCTATAAAAAAAATTTTACTAACTAACTATAATAGAGTATATAGTTGAAAGATTATATAATAATTTGTTTCGATTTATAATTTCTAAAAACATGTTATTAAGCACTTAATTTTTGATAACTATGCCAATTTAAATGTTTTATCAATTTATTTTACTTAAAAATATAAAAATAACAACTCCATTAGCAACCACTTATGAAATTTTTTTCGGACTACACCCGTTATCTCAAGTCTTGGATTGAACTAATCCATTGACCCAAATAGTTAACGAGAGAAAATTGAGTTATTTGAGTCCTGAAAGCTCAACGGGTCGAACTGCTAGTTTTTGGATCCAAAATATTCATTATAACTTTAAATTATAAGAATTTGTCTTATATATATAATAATTTTATAATAATAATAATAATAATAATAATGCATCCAATCGGACTACTACAATATAGATTTAACAATAATTATTGGGTAATTATCCTTTAATTAGGAACATGGGCATTAATTAGTGTGCGCACATAAACAATTGATCCACCCGAGACTTGATCATTTCAAGCCATAACTACCCGGACCTGGAGAGCAAATCACGGCAGCCAACGGGAGAGATCACGTGGGGTCTGTCAAGAATTATGTTCAAATGCCCGCTTCGATTTTTGATAAAGACACAGAGTCACACATCTCCCGCCTATCTTCGTGCCACTCTAACATGCTCCTTCACCTTCTTCTTTATCTGCTTGACTGCCCTTTTTTTTTTTCTTTCTTTCTTTCTTTTGAACAAATTATTATTTTTTTTATAATTGACCAAAAGTTGAGTGTGTAAATAAACAACTCTAAAGATAATTAATTCAAATCCATTTTCAGAATGGTATCTTTCTATTTTTACATAGAAAAATACCCACTTCTTGTCTTGGTGGTTTCTATATATATATATATATATATATATATATAGACACACACACACACACACACCAGTAAGCTTCTTATAGTTGTTTGCTCTGTAAATCAAACCCATGTCTCTGCTTCTCACTCTTTGCTTTTATTTCCTTTTTTCTCTTTCCCATGGCTCTCCCTCTCCACCTGTTACTCCACATCTTGACGGTAAGCATTCTTTTCCACTCCGAAAATTACACATAGGTATAATCTACTAATTCTGTTCATAATTTCACAGAAACTTTACTATAAACTGAACTTTTAATAAGGTTTATACCCATTAGCCAAACTGATTTTTTTTTTTTTTAATCACCAGGACTACTAAAAAATGGCGACTTCGAGCAACCCCCCTCCAAAGCAAGCCTCAACAAAACAGTAATAATCGGCAAATACTCACTCCCTCACTGGAAAATCAAAGGCTTGGTGGAGTACATCTCGGGCGGGCCACAACCAGGTGGGTTCTACTTCCCCGTCCCCCGCGGTGTCCACGCCGTGAGGCTCGGCAACGAGGCTTCTATTTCTCAGTATGTACGTGTCAAGCCCGGCTCAATTTATTCCCTCACGTTTGGGGCCACTAGGACTTGCGCCCAAGACGAGGTGTTACGAGTCTCGGTCCCCGGTCAGTCCAGCGACCTTCCGATTCAGACTCTGTATAGCAGCAATGGAGGAGACACGTATGCTTGGGCTTTCAAGGCTGCTTCTAAATTTGTTCCCGTCACATTTCATAATCCAGGGGTTCAAGAGGATCCCACTTGTGGACCCCTCTTGGATGCTATTGCAATTAAAGAGATTTTGCCTCCCAAGTATCCTAAAGGTAAGATTACATATAATTTTAAATTGAATGATTTGCATATAATTTTAAATTGAATCTCATTTTTTTTTTCTTTTTAAAAAATTATCATTTATCTAGACTTGGGTGGATGAAGTTATATTTCCATTAATTTAATTTATACGTTAATTTTAGTAGTTAAAAATCATAGACGTGTTTGTTTCGAAAAAATCATTGCCGTCTAATTTAATTTTAATGTAATTTTTTTTATATTTATATTTATATTTGATCTCTTTATTTACGTATATCTAATATTAAAAAAATATTTTGTTTTAACAGGAAATCTGGTCAAAAACGGTGATTTTGAGACTGGTCCTTATGTTTTCAAGAATTTTTCAACGGGCATTCTCATTCCTCCTAAAATTCAAGACTTAATATCTCCACTTCCTGGATGGATTATCGAATCCCTTAAACCCGTGAAATACATAGATAAAAATCATTTTAATGTTCCTTATGGTTTTGCTGCAATTGAGCTTGTGGCCGGGAAAGAGAGTGCTATTGCTCAAGTCATTAGAACAGTGCCGCACAAATTTTACAACCTCTCATTCAAAATTGGAGATGCCAGAAATGGATGCCATGGATCCATGATGGTTGAAGCATTTGCTGGTATGAAAACTCTCAAGGTTCCATACACGTCTCAAGGAAAAGGTGGATTCAAACTAGCGATTCTTAAGTTTCAAGCTGTGTCAAACAGGACAAGAATCACATTTTATAGTGCTTATTATCATACAAAGCTACATGATTATGGTTACATGTGTGGTCCTGTTTTAGACGACGTTAAAGTTTTTTCTGTTCGATCCTAATATTTATAAACTTAAGTAATTTGTTTTGTCCTAAATAAATTTAGTTAGCTATCATCGTGAGTTAAAATACAAACATTAAACGCATACTGAATGTTTAAATTTTGAAACTCATGGGTTATTTACTTAGCCGGACACATAAAATTTATAATTTGAACAATTACCTGATGAGAATTTAATAAAATTTTAATTGAACTGTGACTATATTATATTGTTTAGTTTTTTTATAATTTAAATAGTTTTTTACATTATTATTGTATTTATTTATTTTTATGGAATTATTATATCTAATTCAATGATAAATAAAGTTAGAAGAAAAATGTAGTAAGAAGCAATCTACTATAATACATTTTTTAAAATTATAATTGTTGTAAGGTATTTTTCTTATGTACATTTACAACTAATAATGTAAAAATAATAGCTAATAACAAACTTGTCAACTGTTACATAAAATTTAATAATTTTCTCTACAAATTTTCTAAATAATGTATTGATACAATATTTTTTATATAAAATAAAATAAATAAAATGATTTACAATAAATAATATATTGATATAAAATTTTCTGAACAATAACGTGTAGGAAATAAAATTAAAATCAATATGTGAAATTTGAGAAAAAAAAAAATAAATAATAAAAGATTTACATAATTTATAATAATTATTTTTGTATTAAAAATTTAAAGGTACTTCCAATTTTTTTTTTAAACTTACTCTAGAAGTTTCGCTCGACCTGTATAAACACGTTATCAATTATGTCCGCGATCGACGTACATTTGCAGACCTAACAGTAAGCATCACTGGTATGATTTGACGTGGCAATACATTAACTTAAGTATACCATAAAAAAGGTGGACTTCACCGCAGAGGATACGTTATAAGCCGACCCTGAATATCCATTTTTCTCTTTTTTGACGAGAAAAAAAGGAAGTCTCCTCATTTATAAAATCATAGACCCGGGTCGCGAGCAGAGTCTTCTCCTACGTTTTCAACTCTCTCTTAAACCACAAATTTGAGACCAGAGCAGCAATTTTCTGTATAGAGAAACCGAGGAAATGGCTGTAGGAAGAGAAGAGGCTGAGGTGCAGATAGTGAAGCCACGTACGGACAAGAGAGAGTACAGGCGAATTATCCTCAAAAACTCCTTGGAGGTCCTCTTGATCAGCGATCTTGATACCGATAAGGTAAACAACATAGAGAGACTCCTAAAATTGAGCGTTAATCTCAACGTTAGTTATCCTTTTTTCTGTCGTCGCGTCACTTGAGCTTGAAGTAATCGCATTCGCAGTAATGAAATGATTTAGAGAGATCCTTTTTCAGCGTTTCTCGCTTTTTCATTTTCTGTTCCCGTCTAAATTTTCTTATTCAAATTCGTGTAGTTAATTCACTATGTTTTATTTTCTATCTATTCCACTTTTTACTATTATTAATTTTTTTGCATTCAAATCCTTGTGTTCGTGAACAGCATCTTTTCATTCTTTCTCTTTTCGGGTTGAAATTTCGCGCTGGAATTGGTGCATTGATTTCAAGACATCTTTTTCATTTTCTTTTTCCTTATGCGATGTTCTTTTGGTTTCAGTGTGCCGCTTCAATGGATGTCAGTGTTGGCTCTTTCTCCGATCCCAGTGGTCTCGAAGGCTTAGCTCATTTTCTCGGTACTCCTGTTCTTCATTGTTTACAGACATTGTTATATATACATGTAGTAACCTAGTAGACGCATTTGAGCATAAAATAATTAGTTACGCACGTTTGTAGTTTCAGTTAGTATAACTTCAAATAAATATTGCATTAGGAACGTAGAACGTTTTATATCTATTTTCGATGAGCAGTAGGTAATTGGATTTCTGTGAATTGCTCTTTACATGGGCGTACTCCTTTGGTATCTTTGTAAATAATATTACTTCTCTTATATTTAAAAAAGAAATTGGATTTCTGTGAATTAAGTTCTACAAATTTGGACACGAGCATTTTGGTTGCCATTTCCAACTGGCAACTACTATGGCCATTTTACTACTAGATCATTGGTGGAAGTTCTTCCTGTTCTACTTTTTGTACTGTTTTCTTAAGACGCGCAATTCATCTTTTTTTTTTTTTTTTTTTTTTTTTTTATTATTAGTGTAACTTTCTTGGTAATATAGGATTGACATGCAATATGTGGAAGTCATGCAGGTATGAGACAGAAGAATGCCCGTATTTCCATGTTACTTCTTGACAGTTGCTTTTTATTTTCCTAATGCTTTGTGTGCAGAGCATATGCTATTTTATGCAAGTGAGAAATATCCGTTGGAAGATAGTTATTCAAAATATATCACAGAGGTACTACTTCTCATACCTTATAGATATATATGTGCATCACCTTCGATTCTATTCTCTTTTTCTTTCTTAAGTTGATGTTTTAGAAGTTGTTTAATTTGTAAGCTCATTTTGTTATTTTTTAACAAGTTAACAGAAAATGTAAAATATTATGTTTTTCTAGCATGAAGCCTTCCAGGCAATGTCTTTTTCTTTTAGAGAAAAATTGTGTTAACTCTGTAGGCTATCGGGGGTTTCTGAGAACATGACAGATGTGTATCCTCGCATCTTTCCTGGGCACTGAAAAGAAGTGGAATGGAGTGCTTGAAATATCAAAGTTTTATGAAGAGATTGTTAGATTCTTTTTCATCCAATTGAAAGGAGATCTGAAATGCCTGCTGTATTTGTCTGGGTCTTGGAGGTTCCTCTGTGATTCCTCTTATTAGTTTTCCCTTATATAACAAAAGAATAAGTTGCAGTGATATTGGTCTTACAGACTTATTCTACATAGATTAATCCTTTATCTGACTTCCTGGTGCATAGCATGGAGGCAGCACAAATGCTTTTACATCTTCTGAGAACACGAACTACTATTTTGATGTTAATACCGATTGTTTTGAAGAGGCTTTGGACAGGTAGATTTTGCTTTTGCATTTCTTGTTGATATTCTTTTTGCCTCTGATCTGGATTGTGAAACATGGGACATTTTCTTTTGCTTTCTGGATAGATTTGCACAGTTCTTTATCAAACCATTGATGGCAGCTGATGCCACCATGAGAGAAATTAAAGCTGTTGATTCTGGTGGGTGCTTTCATTCTGAATACACTTGTTAGTTTCAAGAAATTTTTTGAATAAACAGTTACTAATCTCTTTATTCTCCCCCCCTCCCTCTCTTCTAGAGAATCAGAAGAACTTATTGTCCGATGCTTGGCGAATGACCCAGGTTTATTTTGTTTTCTTGGGAATATTTTTTGGTGGTTTAATTCATGCTGGGGATGCTTGTATCAAATGCTGTGATCCCATGTTTATTGTTCTAGGAGATGGACTGTTTATTTCAAAACTGTTGATGTTTCTATGATGTTTAGAATATGAAGATGTGAAGCAAGGTCTCCATTTCTGCAATTCTTTTTGTTTGATAGGAACATTACAACTTAGTTTAACCCTTTATGACTCTTTTCATGCAGAATAATTTGTTGGAAACATTCTTACTGTAATAATATATTAGCCTCAAGAATGAAGTTTTCCCTCTTCTAATAATTAAAAGGTGTTTGCTAATATGTTTGCTTAATGTATAGTAGATACCTATCAGATATATTTCCTAATGCATGGAGCAGCATGTTGAATATTTTCTCCACTAAATGCTAGATCTCATACTACATAATTTGGCTTCGAAAACTTATTTACTCTTATGATGGTTGTTTTTTTGAATTTTCTGGCAAAACGTTCAAGTTTCCTGATGTCTTTCCTGAGAGTAGCATTTCTGTTCTATCTACTTTTAATGTTTTAGATGATCCACTAAGTTGTAGGATATATTTGACTGAAACTATCTGTTATCTTGTATACTTAAGTCTGATTTTGACTATGGGTTGTGAGCATCTCTTTTTCATAGCCCTTTCTTTACCTTTATCCTTATCATGATCCTTAAGTATTTGAAAATAGTCACAAGAGTAGGAAATCTATTAAGCATAGTGCTAATCCTCTCCAACATTTCTCAACTAAATTGCCCTGTTCTAGATCCCAACTTTTGGAATCATGACGTAAGTTTCTAACTGCCTTTGCTTTCTGTTATGTTAAAATGCAGTTACAAAAACACCTAAGTGCGGAAGATCATCCATATCATAAATTCAGCACAGGTCAGCATTTAATCTAATCTTTATATTTTCTATTTTCTTTGCTTTATATGCCTAAAACAAAGCTGCTCTTTTTTGGTGTTTATGAATGATCATGTTGTTGCATGTGTGCTTATGGTGCTAAAGCATGAGCCATGAGGTAAATTAAGGCTTCAAGTTGAACCCATTCCAAAGGAAAGCAGTATTTGTTACATAATAATAGAGCATGCATACAACTCATACAATCTAATGTTTGATTGTTTGACAATATAAAAGATCTTGCACTAGTTTGACAATGATTCCTTACAATATGGCCACCGGGAACTTATGAATTCCTTGCTCTTTTGCTTGTATTACAAATATGTGCTTTTCTGTCCTGTTATTTCAATCATTTTTTCGTAGTTATAGAAACTATAGGACAAAAGGGTGGAGCAAGAAAATTTTAGCTTTTGGTTTTCCTGTTTAGCTGTTATCAGACGAGCAGAAATTTATCTGCCAGAGTGTTCTATCGCCTCAAATTTTTGTGATATTTTGCTTATGTATTCTGGTTCTTTCCAATCTGCTGAAAATCAAGATACAATCACTATAAGTTGTTGATGTGTAGGAAATTGGGAAACTTTGGAGGTTCGGCCGAAAGAAAAAGGACTGAATACAAGAAATGAGCTTATTAAATTCTATGAAGAAAACTATTCTGCCAACCTCATGCATCTCGTTATATATGCAAAAGGCTGGTTACTAAGTTTCCTACCAACCAGAATTTTACTTTCTAGTAATTTTTAGAGGATCAACAAGTAAAGTTTTTCTTGTCACGGATGTTTTTCAGAAAGCCTTGATAGAATTCAGTGTATGGTGGAGAAGAAGTTCCAGGATATTCGGGACACTGGTAGAAGCCATTTCAGGTTTCCTGGTAAACCTTGCAGATCAGAACATTTACAGGTATACCATGGTGTTTATTCATATACTCATTCAAGTAACATGAAAATTTTATTGTATAAAGGTTTGCGTGAACAATAATTTTCATTTTCTTGTGCTACTTCTTTCAGATTCTTGTTAGATCTGTTCCAATAAAAGAAGGCCACAAATTAAGAATCATATGGCCGGTAACCCCTAGCATTAACCATTACAAGGAAGCACCATGCAGGTACCTTGGTCATCTCATTGGCCATGAAGGGGAAGGATCTTTGTTTTATGTCTTGAAAACTTTGGGTACGTTTTGTATCTTTTGCATTCTTAAAATAATTAATTTCCTAATGGGTTCCATGTGAAAACTAAAGTACTGTAAGTTTTAAAGCAATGCTGTTTTTCAGCTTAGTTGAGTGGCTTTTACAACAGCTGCTGTACGTTTAGGGCCTTCATTTGAGAGAATAGAATGATAATGTCTCTGTTTAGGTTCTTTGTTCCTTAAGAAAATTTCTTCTTAGTCATCATAAGTATTGGTATCATATTAAATCCTAATTATTTATAGCTTCATGATTGTGTGTGTGTGTGTGTTTTTTTTTCCCAAACACTTTATCTCGTGTCTTTTTTCCTTGAGACTCCGTGTTTCGTCCTTATGAATTTCTTTGGAAGTTGAAACTCATAGTTGAGAGCAGGAGAGACAATTTCTGTTGATAGCTTTCAACCATCCTGATGCCAATCTGCAAAAGTTGGGGTTACGGTTTAATAATCTTGCTTGTTTCCAAAAAAAAAACAAAGAAGAATGGTTTGATAATTTTGGTGCAGTTTTAATTAACTAAGTTTTCTGTTTGCTTTGTCCTTCCTGTAGTATATGTTTATCATCTTCCTAAAATTGTTTCTCAAGTGTTCAGAGAGAGTGTTTGTGCAGTGAGTTATATTCTGTTAACTTCATTACCAGTATCTGTTTTTGCCCCTTTTTTGGCGAATGATTGTGAAACTTCCATGTCAATTTTGCATACTAGTTTCTTGACTGTGTGAAAAATTTAGGAGGAGCTATATTAGCTTAAATTTGGATTTTGCATTTGTTTATTGGCTTAATGCATTTGTTGCTTTTTCAAACCTTAATGGGAGAAGTGTTGGTCTTAGAATGAGCATCATTTATCTAATTTCTAAAGGAAATCCTCTTGCAATTTTTTCTGTGGAATTTTTAATTGGATTTAGCTAGATCCAAGTTTCCTTTTCCTAAAAGGATGGTCTCACATGCAAAAGAAATTACTTTTTTTTTGGAAAAGGAAAATTGTAGTTAAGATATTTTTAGAAAGATAGCATGGTTATGATAGGTAGTTAAGTTCTTAGAGAAGGATTAGAGATTGCATTGCTTGGAAGGGAAAGGTAGCAAACTCAGAAACTCTAAATTCAGGACTCAAAGACAGGAAGCCATCATGTGTGATTTGGTTAAGAGTCGAGCTCTTACAGTAAGGAAACAATTGTTCAAGTGGAATACAAATAGAATGCCATGGTGGCCCTTCTTACTGGTGAATTAGATAACGAAACATAATTTCTGAGGAAGATTTCATTGAATGAGCTCTTTTTTACAAGAAAGAAGTTTATGCCTGTAGGTATGAAATTTTTTTATGGTTACTTATTCCAAATATTTTTTGC